TCAAAGGCCGGCATGGTAATCGGCCTCTTTGACCCGGCAGGCAATGGGCCTCCAGGCCACCTTCCGCACGTTGGCGGGCATTTTCTTGCCCCCCCCCCCCCGTATCTTCGAAACTACTGGACGGATCCGTAAAATTCAAATGGCGCTCGATAGCCCTGTCAAATTTGTTGAAGGAAATACAATTTCATTAACCTCGGGGTCACCGATGACGTGTTAGGTCATGTCAAAGATAAAATATTTCAACGTACACGGGTATTTTAGGGAATGCGCTATAACATCGAGTAAAACGCATTTTGTCGAAAATCAGTGATAGGGCGTCAGTTGCCTAGTACCTACATATGTTGCTATTAGAGGTCACTGATAATACCAGGTCAGGTCAGGTCAACAAGGATCAGCACATGAACCCAACTTTAGTAGGGTTGGGCAATGTATGTTTTATGGCCAATTTTTAAGTTCCAACTCAATGGAGTTGGTTAAGATTATCAGGTACGGCTAAGGTCACTTTCTGGTGGAGGTCAGGCAGAAAAGGTCAAATTTCAAAGTTGATAGTTTTGCATAAAGTGGGTATTGATTCGATACAGCTCGTCACAGCGAGTCTAATGGTGGTCTTTGTTTTGCGCCACGTGGTCTAGATTTCCTAAAAACTGAGTTTGAAAATTTTACGTAATTAATTTTTAACTGTTTTTTTTTTGCTATAACTTTGAACTTTCCCAAAAAATAGGTATCGATCTCAAATTTGGTATATGAATAGAAACCGATAGAAGCTATTATATATATTCCGGGTTCCAAAATCGAAAAACTTTTGGGATTTTTCGGCTATTATATCCAACAAAAATATTGTTTGATGTTTTGGGGTCAAATTCGAATATTTCCAAAATTTCGAGGCAGCAGTTATGTAGCGCGGTAAGTCTGCACATTTTATGTCTTGAACACTTTTCTGTGTCATCAAAGCCATAAAACTGACAGCTCTTCCCGCGATTCCTTTTTTGGGTCGAAAATGGCAGAAATGACGTCACTCCGACGTCATTATTAGAAGCCAACCTATCATAGCCTTTGGAAAAAATTGGTCACAATGTGTAAAAGCTATTCCCGCGAGGGTACTGAAAGTTTATTGACGATCGGCGCAGCGATTCTAGATATATCGAAAAAAAAACTAAACGTGTGTGTGTGTGGGGGGGGGGATGCCCCCCCACCACCTGGAAGGCTAAGCTAGCATCGGGCCCCCCGAGGGTCGGCAGGAGCCCCTTTGCCAAATTGCTCCCCCCAAACCCTGGATGTCGTGATCTTTGCTGATACTCATACTCATACTCATATATTTCGGAAACATCCATAAGTACATGGGTTTTCAGTTTTCCACGTCAAGCTCAAGATTAAAGTACATAAAAAATATCCAAGTACACATCCCTCAAATTTAAAACAGTACTTAAAAACACGAAAAATAATGACACTGACGGTATTGCAGCTAGGCCATAAGATGCTAAACTCGAGTATTATGTCTTGTGATCTCTTTCCGCATTCTTTTCTTAAATGCAAGGTAACTGGGCGCGCATCTCACTTGCACAGGCAGGTCGTTCCACGCTCGAGTCGCGCGACACACAAATGATCGTCTCGCAAACTCTGTTCGCAGTCGCGGTGTTTGCAGCTGTCCGTCACTGGCTGCTCTCGTGCCGCGGCTGGAGACATCGGCACGGCGCGCGACGTGACAGCGGATCGGGTCGGGTGCACTATCGCTGTGCAGCAGGTTATACATGACGTGCAGATCGCGTTCTCGTATCATTTCATCCACTTTGAGCCAGCCCAGCTCCCTGAGTGGCGAAGTTACTCGATCGCGCCGGCTCAAGCCCATGACTATACGGACACCGAAGTTGATGCATCTCTGCACGCGTCTCTGCTCAGTGACCGTGCTGCTCCCCCACACAGACACACAGTACCTGATAAGAGGGAACACAAGTGACTCTACAAGCAGCCGCCTTGATCTCTCTAGGTCAAACGACTGGGACTTGGGATGACGCCGAGCGATTTAGGCTACGTATTGCCTGCCCAAGTGCCCCAGAATGTTTGATTTCGATGGTAATTTTTCCTATTCCTACTTCAAGAACTGTTTGCAAGAGCATTTTGAACCTAATGCGTAATTAACCCAAGGTCATTGCGTGGCGTTTAGGGGTTAAGCAATTATAAAAAGTAGCATCAAGTCATTTCGAGTCGTTTTGTGTCATTACGGAGCGAGCGAAGCGAGAGGAGTCTCATACTGAATTAAGGGAAAATCCTGAGTATGAGCGGCCGGCCGGCCGGCCGGCCGGCCGTGGGGACGCTCTTCAAAAGCTAATATCTTAGGAACGGGACATCCGATTGACAAGCGGTCTTCTTTACTGAATGTCACTTGGACGTAAAAGTTCTGTGGTGTGAAGGCCACCATGCGTTCTTGCCAACCACCGCACGTGGCGCGTGGTAAAGTTGGACATTTTTTAAGAACCCCCAAAATTGCAACCTCAATAACGGCACAACGGTTGGGCCGATTGAATTGAAACTCGGTACCGTTAGGTCTCCATCAGATAATTCATCTGCATGTGTTAAGGTTGGGGTGCTACAGCACGTGCGCACGTGCAGGGGGCGCTCCCAGATCTCGAGAACGGCTGGGCCGATTGGCGCTCAAATTTGGTACACGGTTGGGGACCAGTTAGTAGGGTGCCGTGCGAAAGTCAGTTTGGACCCCGCTTGCACGTGCGCACGTGCAGTGTGCCGCTTCCAGATCTCGAGAACGGCTAGGCCGATTGCGCTGAAATTTGGCACATCGCTAAAGACCGGTTAGTAGGGTGCAGTGCACAAGTTAGTTGGAGGTACCCCCTCGCAATTTCGCACGTGCAAGGCCCATCCTCTCGCTCGCTCCGTTGGTCGCCCAAAAGGCTTCTTATTCTTACTGGTTACGAGCGAGCGAGCGCAGCGAGCAAGCGAGTTCATACTGAATTAAGGGAAATCCTGAGTATGAGCGGCCGGCCGGCCGGCCGGCCGTGGGGACGCTCTTCAAAAGCTTATATCTTGGGAACGTGACATCCGATTGACAAGCGGTCTTCTTTACTGAATGTCACTTGGACGTAAAAGTTCTGTGGTGTGATGGCCACCATGCGTTCTTGCCAACCACCGCACGTGGCGCGTGGTAAAGTTGGACCTTTTTTAAGAACCCCAAAAATTGCAACCTCAATAACGGCACAACGGTTGGGCCGATTGAATTGAAACTCGGTACACATTTAGGTCTCCATCAGATAATTCATCTGCATGTGTTAAGATTGGGGTGCTACTGCACGTGCGCACGTGCAGGGGGCGCTCCCAGATCTCGAGAAGGCTGGGTCGATTGCGCTCAAATTTGGTACACGGTTGGGGACCAGTTAGTAGGGTGCCGTGCAAAAGTCAGTTTGGACCCCGCTTGCACGTGCGCACGTGCAGAATGCCGCTTCCAGATCTCAGGAACGGCTGGGCCGATTGCGTTCAAATTTGGCACACTTCTAGCGACCGGTTAGAAGGGTGCTTTGCACAAGCCCGTTGAAAGTATCCTCTCGCCCTTGCGCACGTGCAGGGCTCACTATCTCGCTCGCTCGTTCTTCGCCCAAAAGGCGTTTTTCTGGTTTTTAACGCTTTAGATTTACTAAGGTGGGCCAAAGTTATCTGTTAGAATTTGTGTGTCGTAGGTGTGACACTTGCTGAATTCCTTACGCCGACCGGTGAGTATTCACGCGGCATTGCCTGGCCCGCTTATTCCATACCTCATTGTTTCTGTTGTGTGTGAATTTAAAGTGGATCTGAGACGTCCGGAATCTGAGCTGAATATTGATGGTCATCGTAAGAGTATCTACAGGGTGTTTCACTAAAAGTGTCAAAAAGTAAATGCTTATTAAAGATATATAAAATACGCAAAGCACGTGGTTGCGCACGTGGCTTTGTTGCAAATTTTTGGACATTTATGCTTTGGCCACTTAAGATATATTTTACACTCATACGGAGCGAGGGCAGGAGGCCAAAGTTACTAGTCGTTTTTTTTCCTTATACAGAACAAGAACAGGTTATTTACACCGCAACAGGAGCGGTGGATTACACTTACATTTGGTGCTATCAGAAACATTGAAACCGTACGCCGAATTTTCAGGAAACGTTTCACACTCTCACCTCGCTACGACCCAGATTATAAAAGTTTCAAAGGGCTTCTTGAGAGGTTTAAAAGGGTTCCTTTGATGCCGGTTCCAGTCCAAAAAAAAAGGCGGGTCGCCCCCACCTCTCGGCGGAAATCGTTGAAAAGGTCAGGGTCTTTCTGAGGGCCTTTTAAGATAACAAGAAGCTTATTTCAACATCAGAAATAGCCAAGCCCCAATTTATCAGAAACAACCGCTGTAACGGCTGTAGCCACCAAGAACTGGCTGGACCAGAAGTTCCGTTCCCGGGCCGAATAATCAGCTGCCTCACCGCCCGCCCCTGGCCAGCGCGAGGCCCCGATCTGTCACCGCTAGCCTTCTGGTTTTGGTCAGTTGCTCTCGCAGAGCTGAGGAAGACTTAAGTCGCATCACTTTTGGAGCTGAAGAGCACAATGCAAGGCTTTGCCGACAGTCTGGACGCTGAAGATGAAAACGGGCTGTGAGGCACCTCCGGACACGTGCCGAAACGGTGCATCGAAAGAAGCGGCGGATATGTGGAATAGGTTTGAGTGACGGTGATATCATTTTTATATATTCAAATGTCCAACAATCGCGGATGGAATGATGTGCAAATGTCCATAGAAAACATTGTTATTATGTGCATTAGGGCCTTTTACTTTTTGACACTTTTAGTGAAACACCCATAGTGGATTTATCGAAAAGGTTTGATGTGTAACCACTCGAGCTTTTTATCTGCATATATTTTTAGCTATCATTTGAGTGTTGTGACCATCAACATATACTGTTTTCGGTACCTATGTGTCAACATCCGTCCTTCTCACCATTTAGTCTATAGTAGAGTAGAAACAAAACACCCTGTCTGTTTTTATGGACACTTTTATTTCGTTACAGCTGTGTATGAGACGTTTGGCTTTGAAGATGTCCACACTCTTACACGGTTACACTGAATGTGCGCGGCTGTTGTCTGACCACGTGACAACATAAGTTATTGTAACAATTGATGGCGGGGCGAATGGTGGAGGGCGTGTCTAGAACTGGAGCGGGTTGCTGGGCGCGTCGTAGTTGTATCCGCAGGTCGCCTTGACCACCTGGGTGCGGTAGACGGTGCTGACCTGGGCGCGCACCACGGTGGACGTCTGGGTGACGGTGCGCGCGTTGGTCCGGGTCTGTACGATGGTGCGGGTGGCGCCCGGCACCTGCTGGGTGAGCGTGACGTACTGGATGCGCGTCTGCGTGCTCGTCTGTCCGGGCAGCTGCTGCACGCTGGTGACGGTGGCCGTCCGGTAGTCGGTCTGGGTGACGGTGCGCTGGCGCACATCGGTGCGCACCTGGGTCTGCGAGAGCACGCGCTGCTGCACGCTGGTGGACGTCACCTGGACCTGCTGCGTCCGGTAGGCGGTGCGGATCTGCGTGTTGTAGTTGGTCTGCGTCTGCGTGACCACCTGCGGCACGTACTGGGTGCTGACCACCTCCTGGGTACGCGTCAGCACCTGGGTGCGCGAGACGGTGACGGTCTGGGCGGGCAGCCGCTGCGTCTGCGTCTGCACGATCGTCTGCGTTTGCGTGACGGTGCGCAGGACCGTCTGCGCCGGCAGCGTCTGGGTCCGCACGACCGTCTGCGTGACGTACTGGGTGCGCACCTGAGTCTGGTCGGGCAGCTGGCGCTGGACGACGCTGGTCTGGGTGGAGATCTGCGGCACCTGGCGCGTCTGCTGCACCACCTGCGTGGAGACGCGCGTCGTCACGACCTCTCGCGGCACCGTCTGCGTCAGGACGCGCGTCTGCGTCTCGGTGATGGTCCGCACGACAGGCACAGTGCGGGTGACCGTCTGCTGGATGACGCGATCCTGGCCGCGACGGCTCTGCGTCACGATGGAGGTGCGCACGACCGTGGAGACGACCTGCTGGAGCTGGGTGGTGGCCACGATCTGGGTGGACACGACCTGGCGCGTCTGTACGGTGGGCACCACCTGCGTGCGTGTCACGTAGACGGTCTGCGGCACCACCACCTGGCTGGTTCGCACCACGTCCCGGTTGACGGTGTTGGTGACGTAGGTGGTGCGGTAGACGTCGTTAACGGGCGGACACGATGTGGACGGGTTGGGGTAGCTGGGCGTCGGAGGCGGCAGGTACGGCTGGCCGGCAAACTGCGGCGCAGCCAGCGCCGACGCCACCAGACATGTCAGAGCCAGCAACGAGCGCATCCTGCAACAGAACGCCACACAACGACCGTCAGACCTCAGAAGCCAGCTGAGGTGAAACAGCAGAGTGCCATGAATCGCAAAGGGCGACGAGTCCAAGCACATAGAGGGTACAGGGCAAGACGAGCAAGCGCAGGGGTACAGGCATGAAAAAGCATGCATGCTTACCTGAAAGACTGTTGGCATTTTCGCATCATTGGCAGTCTTTCGTAATGAACATATCGCTGCTCAATTTTTTAGCGTGGTTTATTGATCATTTGATGACGAGTAAGTACATGTCAGCCTTATGTTGTCACATGGTCAGGGGCAGCTGTGGCACTTTCAGTGTAGTCGTTGGTGGACACGCGCATAACTTATTCAGCTTAACAGATGATGGAGCGACGACCGCCAGGCGGTTGGCGGACTACCGCGTTGGCCTGTGGCCGCCGCCGTGTGGACGGTGTATGGTGGGGGCCCTCTAGAATCTGAGGGGGTTGCTGGGCTCCTGGTAGTTGTAGCCCTCGCACGGCTCGGTGCTGGTGGTGACCCGGGTGACGACCGACGGCTGGATGACGGTGCTGGTGAGGACGCGCGTCCGGACGTTGTCGATGGTGCGGTAGTCGGTGATGATGCGGTCCTGGCCGCGCACGGTCTGCGTCTGGGTCTGCGTCCGGACGGCGGTGCGCACGACGTTCTGTCCGGGCACCGTCCGCACGACGGTACGCGTCTGGGTGAGCTCCACGGGCACGGTGACCAGACGCTCCTGGGTCTGCGTCACCACCACGGGCACGGTCTGCGTCTGCGTCACCGTCACCACCCGGGTCTGCGTCACACGCTGCGTCTGCGTCGTGGTCTGCTCGCGCACGCTGGTGACCTGGACGACGCGCGTGCTGAGCTGGGGCACCTGTTGCACCCTCGTGCTCTGCACCACCTGAGTGCGCACGACGTTGCTGGACTGGGTGATGACGGGTCCGGGCACCTGCTGGATCTCGGTGCGCGTCCTGTACTGCTGCTGTGTCGTCACCCTGGTCTGCGCCGGCGGCTGGTACTGCTGCACGCTGGTGGTCTGGCGCTGCTCCGTTTGCGTGATGACGACAGTGCGTCCGGGGATCTGCTGCGTCCTCGTGACGTAGACCACTTGCGGCACCGTCCGGGTGACGGTCTGCGTGACGCGCTGCACGACGTTGGAGACGCGAATCTGTGTGCTGGTGACCACCTGGGTGCGCTCGACGACGCTCTGCCTCGTGTTGAAGGTGACCTGGCTCTGCGTCTGGGTTTGGGTCACCACGCGCGTCTGGCCGGGCACGTCGACGATGCGGGTGCTCTGGCGCTGGACGACGCTGGTCCGCACTTGGGTGCGCACCACGGGCGAGACGATGGTGGTGACGCTGGTGCGCACCAGGGTGCTGGGCACCACGCTGGTGACGACGCGCGTCTGCTCGACCCGCTGCGGCACCGTCTGCACCACGGTGCGCGTCACCGTGTTGGTGACCTGCTGCGTCTGCGTGCGGTAGATGGTCTTGGGCTGCTCGCAGGGCGCCGTGTTGGGCTCCGGGTTGCCCGGTCCCGGCGGCGGCAGGTAGCCATCGGCCAGGTCCAGGTTGCTCGGGAAGCCCGAACCGAGCTGGGCGTCGGCCGCAGCCAGCAGCAAGAGGGAAACCAGGATCCGCCACATTCTGCAACACAGAACAGGAGGGCAGGTACACGGGGATCAGTGATTGGACCTTTTGAATGGCTCTGTTTGGTACCGCGGCTGAACAACTGGCGGGCAGTGGGCAATAAAGTCCAATCACTTCTCACCGGCATGTACCTGCCTCTCTATTCCGGCTGCGAACGGAGCGGATACATGTGATATCGGTAAGCTGCAGCTGCATGAGATTGGATGGACTTTACTGCCCACTCTGGCCGGCGGGGGTTCCGAGCGGTCGAACAAACACGGTCGGCGCATCCTCGGTCCTCTCCTCTTTGCCATCGCTCACGTCTACTTGGAATTAAATGATGCATTTTTTTGTTAACTTTGAGAGAATGAATGCAACAAAGACCTCTAGCAAATCGTTACTCTAAAATCACCTTAAAATCGTACGTCTTTAATCACTAGTCTTAACCCGCGCCGGGCCGGTGCTCTGAGATTCCGCGCCGGGCCGCGGGGGGGGGGGGTGTCTGAACACCCCCCCCCTTCTAACTCGGCTCCTGGCCCATGTAGCGACACGCGGTAAGCGGCAATCGAAAGAACGTCAAAAATAAGGACGAAAACACTTCGATCATTTTTTGGGTCAGGTCAAAGGTCAGGTCACCAGATGTCACCAAAGGTAAAATGTTGACTATTTCAACATTTTGGAAACTGCCAACGGCTATCTCGGGAACCAATAGAGCTACAGCGCTGCAAAAAAGCGCATTCGATAGCCCTTTTACAGACCTTTCTGAGTAATGTTCTCAGATTTGACCTCAGGTCAACGGTTTAGCCTCCAGAGGGCAAAAACTCCAAAAATAGCCGTTTTTACGAAAAACGTTTTTTCGGCAATAACTTTTGACTCAAAAGAGCTATGACATTACTTTTGCCACATCGTGTTCCTCTCGTCGAGACGCGTCGAATGAACTATAATTTGACCTTGAAAGGTCAACTTGAAAATTTGACCTCAGGTCAAGGTCATGACCTGACCGGAAAAGGTCATGTTGCATATCAGTCGAACCGCAACGTCGAGCCGAACACAGCTAAGGCGTTTTCAGCGCTCTAGCACGCCTCTATCAGAAGTTATCATCGAAAAACTGTTAGATTCTGTTCGTGACCTGAGATGACCTTGGGGACATAACGAGGGGTCACAGTTGCCATTTTCTGGTTCAGTGTGTCTATTTTACCTACATCTCGATGTTTGAGAGTGTATAGAATAGCGTTCGTGCAAAACAGACGCTTTTCAATTTTCTCCCATTGACTTATACCTAATGGAGAGGCCGCAAAATTGACCTGACCTTAGGTCACCGATATCAAAATTCCGAGATATACATTTTATAGATAGTGTTGCTCTTATCAATCGCTGGAAGTTTCAAGGCAATCGTTCAGTCGGTGTAGCTATGACGAGCATTCTTATTTTTCTGAGGTGAGGTCACTTGGCGTGACCTGGTGACCTGACCTAAGGTGACCTGGGTCTGAAATTTTCACAACATGTACGGAAAAGATGCATGAACAGGTGTGCCAAAAACGGCGGCGCTACGCGCCGCCGTTTTTGAAATATCTGCGAAAAACCGCAAGGGGGGGGGGGTGTTCAAACACCCCCCCGGCCCGGCGCGGGTTAAAATCATTACGAATTAAAAATAGACACATCTAACTTAATAACGATTTAGCCCGTAGTAATTAACTGTTATCGATTTGATGACGAATCTAGGGTAACGATTTGCGATAGGTATTTGTTGCATTTATTGTTCATCCTGTGTAAATCAACTTTTCTTACGCTTTTTCGACAAATATGCGTTGTAGGTTGTTTTGTGTGTCCATGCTAACGGAGTTGGTAAGGTAGGTAGCTATTGTTATAAAGTCGCAGTGACTTATCGACTCGATAATGGGATTTGTAGGCTATTTTAGAACTTTTAACCAGTTTCAATGAAATTTTTAGTCTTTTTGGCCCTATTCAACATAATGGACCCGTACTAGGTAGTTAGTACTTTTTGCAAATGCGATTAATTTGCCAATGAAAACACTGCCTTTGGGATTTCAGCCTTTTCATATGGATAATTTTGCTGAACTTTATTGATAACATATCCATTTAGACGGCGCTTAGATCATAGATGAGTTAAGGAAAGTTAACAATCAGTTTTTAGGTGGGTTATAATTATGTTACTTGACGATTTTGGTAAAAGTGTATCGTTTAAAGCCACCTCTTCTTACCTGCAGATGGGCAGATACCCAAGAGCACACCACTTTACCCTCGTCAAGGCCTAGTACGTCACAAAATCACCACTCGACCTCAGCTCAGGTCAGGTCAGGTCAGACTGACGGCGTCCGGTCGCCGGCTGACTATCACATTCACAGACTCCCGGTATCGTATATCGCACGCGATGCCGCCGGCGCGGCGCACTCACCTAGTGTTCTTGTTGTGCCACTGAGTAGATGGCCACTACTCGAATGTGAGGATCCACCGACTTCGACCGGCTTTATACCGTGCGGCCGGCGTCACGGTCGCGGGGGAGGGGCTCCGTCTCATTCTGGTCTTAGCATCTTAGCGGCTTACTCGAAACCGGCTGACTCATCCCTGCCTGACGGCTGGCTGGGCAAGGACGGACCGTACTTCCATAGGGACGGGGTCTGGGTCAAATAATGGGGCGCATATGTGCGCTGATATGCAACAGATGCTTGTTTTCAGCAGCTTGCACACTTTGCGGGGCGTTAGAGCTACAGGGTCTTTCATAATGAATGTTACTTTTGAACATTTAGTTAGGAGCTCTTAATTTATCACTTCCGCGTGAATTTTATATGGGTATTGTTGCAAATTGATTAGGGTTTTGTTCCAAAAAAATAAAAAATTCACAACGCCAATTTTCTTTCACGCAAAAGCAGAGTATGTCGACACCACCAAAACGCATTACGGATTACGGTCGACGGACAAGTCTTCAGCCATTGGCTCTCCCCTGGGTCAACACTGAACGGGGTGGCTTACCTCAGGCTGCTCAAGGAATGCTTCTGCCTCAGGTCAGGGACAAGGTTCAAATAGACGGCCTGTGGTTCCAGCAGGATGGTGCCACAGTGCACACCACGGCAGCTGTTGCGCCAGTGGCTGATCGAAAATTTCGAAGAGCGCGTTATCAGCCGCCTCACCGAGCGACCATGGCCACCACGGAGTCCTGACCTCTCCCCGCTGGACTACTGGCTTTGGGGAGTCGCATTGGTTGATCTGAGACAAAACCCTCCTGCAGCCATCCACTGCGAACCACAGTGGAAGGGTTTGCTGGAAGCCTGGACCCAGACGTTGTGAGGCGCGGGGTGCGACACCTTCATCAGAGGGCCGAAACGTGTGCCTTAATTAAGGGCGATCAGTGGAAAATTCCTGAGGAGTATTAAAATGAAAGTTGTGTGTGCAAAAACGCTGATGTGTTTCTGTTTCATGTGATGGTACATATTACATGAGGAACATATATGTCCTGAGAAATGGCTCTTTCAAAAGTAACATTCATTATGAAAGACCCTGTAGGAAAATGTGTTCAATATTTCACCCACTAAATCAGTTTGTCTTTGACATCGTGAAAGCAGTGGCCTGTAGCGAGGCGACATCTAGGAACCGTCGCTGTTTCACTCTGCTTCTACAGGCGGCGCTGCCGGCGCTGCCACCCGGTATTGCAGTGGAATCCGCTTAATAAATCCACCTTGGTCAAGGTGTTTTGGATTTATTAAGCGGTGGCTTTATTAACCGGTGTCAGCTATTTTCATTAAAAAGCATGTATCGCAACTGCACGTTCCGTTCCCTGCACTACAAGCGTACAGGCTAGCATTCCTCATTGTCTTACTTATTCCAATGAAAGTGACCACGGGCTCCACCGCACCGGCGCGGTGGGGTCACGGGGGGCCGGACCCCCAATGATTTGACTTTCGTAATGAAGCTTTATGCATAAAGGGTGCGTTTTAGGGTTGAACATCCCCCTCCCCACCTGCGACCGTATAGTGGAGCCCCTGAAAGTGACCAGCGCACACTGCGAAGCTGTCACAGCGATTAACCCTCGCCGGACCTATTGGTTTTCTACATACGCACCGGCCGAGGGGGGGGGGGGCGGGTACAACACCCCTCGCCGTTTCGCCCCTGGTGGAGCTAGCGCGTCGCGGAAAAAACGAGCGTGTGCGCCGTTACGAGACGCAGAGATTGGTACCCGATTTTAAGGTTCTAGGTCAACCGGTGACCTCTGAGGTCAGGTCAAGTGCCCCAAGGTACGGTTCAGTTTTTGGTGAATAACTTCGCAAATACGGCCGCAGAGCCGCGATTTTGGCAGCATCGTGTTCGCCTCGCTCAGGCGCGTCGAATGATATACTTTTTGTTTGGGTCAGGTCAACCTAGGGTGTTGACCTCAGGTCAAGGTCAGGTCAGCACCCCCAGGTCACAAAGTTGGTCGAAAGAGGTCATGCTGCATATCATTCGATTCGGCAGGTCTTCCTGAGTCCATTGGTGGCTTTCCCGACTCGCTAGCTCAATTTGATCGGGAGTTATTGACGAAAACTAATATGACCTTGATGACGTCATAAATGACGTCACGCAAGGTCAATATCGCAAAAGTGACGCATTTAACCTTGCAAGGAGTGCATCAAATCAAGATTCTGTGTGCTTGAGATAGTTGGGGATCATTCCCGGCGCCAGAATAGCAGTTTTCATTTTCCCCATTGACTTATAATGGTGAGGTCACGAAAATGACCTGACCTCATATAACCTTAAGGAAAAATCCGAGATATACAAGTTGTGAGACTCATAATGGATACTAGATCCTGCAAGTTTCATTTCCCTGTGACATCTCCTCTGGCAGTGAGGGCGTTGCGAAGTTGCGACATCTGAAGACCGTGCAGAGTATTGGTGCCAATCGGAATTTCTTTTCTTGGAATTCCAATTTTTGTCCAATTCCAATTTGGAATTTGGACGGAATTCTTAACATTTTTTGGAAATTAATCGGAACACAAGGCCTTTAAAATTTAAAATTTTAAAACGGAGGCCTTTAAAACGCTTTTAAACACTTTTAAAATTTACGCAAAAAATGCAAAAATCGTTAAAAATTGGAATAGCCCCCGCTTTGGACAAAATTGGAAATTTACTTGGCAATTTCTTGGAATTGGATCGGAATTGGAATTGAAATTTCATGAAATTGGCACCACTAGTGCAGAGGTTCACTTATGACGTCATAGGTCAGTGACCTGACCTGACACAAAAATGCGGTTGGTGTCAAAAGATGCGGCTTGAATCAAAGGTCAGGCATGCCAAGTTTCAGCTCTCTATCGCCAACGTGTTCGGAGCTATCGCGAAAAAACCCTATGGGGGGGGGGGCGGCTCCCGCCCCCCCCCTCGGCCGGCGAGGGTTAAAGGTGAATAAAAAAAAGACAGCTGCACAGATATTGTTGGATATGTGAATAGGAACAATTGCGATCAAAAGCAGATTCTCTAGCACATAAACTGTAGTAACTTGGCCTGCAAAACGTTGGTGAGTATGTGACTTCGTTTGACCTGGGCAGTGAAACGTTAAAAATCGAAGCACTAAAATCCAGCACCGTATTCACTCCAGATTAAAGGGACCCTCCCACCTTCAAAAAAGCTTATGAATTGGCATGAAAGTGATGTCGCTCGGTTCAGAAAGAGCAAAAAAGAATATATAGCGGCCCTGGTGGCGCAGTCGGTTAAGGCGTCGACCCGCGGTGCGGGCGGTGCCGGATTCGGGTTCGATTCCCGGTTCCGCCCGTTCCGCGGGCGTCGTCCCCGGCTGTGTCACCAGGTGTGGGGTAGGCTCCCACTTCAGCCGTAGCCTGGGGGGTGGGGTATTGTGGCCGGGAGGAGATGGAGCCCTCCTATAATTGGGACAACACAAGAGCCCGTTGGAGGGAGGCCTGAATAAAATAAATAAATAAATAAATAAATATACCAAATTTCACCGAAAAATATTCACCGGTTTTCAAGATATTAGACTTTTACTTTTGTTTACTTTTTGGGATCTCCGCTGTTCCTAGCGACTTTATTTGAAAGTGCGGCATTTGTTGCGCGCAAAGCAGCATATACCACCGCGTGCTACAAAACGTTTTAGTCAAACATTTAGAAATCGTTAGATATCTGCGCTGACGTCACACATTCAGAGGGGTATTCCTATGCATTAGCCCCTCTGAATCAAAATGCTGCAATTTTGAAATTCAATATTTCCGATTTAAGGCATTTCTCGATGTTGTGAGTGCCGAAACCGGTAATTGTGAGCCAGGGACCCCATTTTGGCTATCTCAACTCAAATCTAATGTTAAGGTGGGAGGATCCCTTTAACCCTCGCCCGTAAACGGCGATCTGCCACCTTCGCCCATGCAGGGGGGGGGGGGGTTGGTGCGACCCCCCCTTGGCGTTTGAAAACGAAGCGTCGTAGAGCTTAGCGGAAAAGACCAACGGATTGCTCTCGCCGAGATCTCGCGATTGGTGGTATATTTTTGGTCCTAGGTCAACATTTGACCTACTTTTGACCGGTCAAAGGTCAAATTTTCGGAAAAAATAGACTTTTTCAACTTTCCGCGGCGATTGCGGCAAAACGGTGGGAGATATCGACTTGAAACCTTCACTGTCGTGTTACTTGATCAATTCTCTATCGTTTGGTATGTATTTCGTTTCCCTAGCTCTAAAAATGGCGCGTTGGGAGCGCCGGAAGTCGGCAAGGTCACAGTCGGCGGCAGAAATTCGAAAAATCAAAATTTAAATTTTTGAAATCTGATTGTATTTTTGGATTTGGGAGGTCCATTTGCTCCCTATAGAAGCTAATATTGCTGCATATTCCCATTGACGTGACAAGAATTAGCAAAATAGTGGTTCGGGCGCTTTTCAAAAATAGTACCGGACGCTGTTCCTCTTGTGACGTCATAGCTCCGTGACCTGACCTGACCCGGTCAAGTTTCTTATACCATATGATAGCCAATACTTGCCCCAACGCATGGGAAGTTTCATCACGATCCATCAACCGATGTCCGTACCACCGGCAGGAAACCTCGGGCGTTGGCACTCAGTTTGTGAAAATCCGGTCGGAGGCTGTTCCCTTTGTGACGTCATAACTCCGTGACCTGACATGACCCGGTCAATTTTTTTTTTATCAAAAGATGCGCAAGGTTTGCCCCAAAAGGTACCCAAAATTTGGCGGCGCTGCGCGCCGCCGTTTTTGCACTATTTCCAAAAATCCTCAGGGGGGGGGGGGCTGCACCAACCCCCCCCTGCATGGGCGAGGGTTAAGGACCCCTCGGATCCACTCCTACACAACGGATTGCTTGGGGCAGACAATGCTTGTTCTAAGAAATTAGGTGTCAGCAACGGTCGTCCTATAATAGTTAGGTTGGCTTTGACACGCAACTGTGCGTGTGCTGAGCCTACCACTGAATGGTGCTGAGCGAAGGAGATTGTCGCTAGGATCCCGTACATCTTACGTTCCAAGCAAACCCAATCAACCATGCCAACTCTACCAGCTGACATGCATTGGCATGGGCCACAAACATCGGCACGCTTTTTAGAACGCGCACTTATGCTGGCCGTTACTGAACCATACTATAGATCAACCTAGGGTACACCCAAATCTAGTTTTCTCACCGGTTTTAGGCCACTTATTTTTCAGACCTTTGTTGAAAAAAACAAAAATGTTTGCAAAAAAGTGAGGTATTCCATATCAGCTGAGTGGCAACCTGGAATCAA